CAACTGCTCGTCCGTTATGTTTGCGAGCAGTCTCTCCGCACTATTGTCGATGCCAGAAGTCCGCGAGGAGACCGTGTTGACGGAAGACATGGTGGAGCTGCGAGTTGGTTTCAATCTCGCCTTTAGCATGTCGTGATCCACTTCATCCGCGATTTTCTCGAGTACCGGCGTGGAAACGGGTGACGTGGATAACTTGTCTTCGAATTGTCGTGCGCCTTCAGAGATCAAGGGAGGCAGTGCAGCCACGCCTGGGTACGCAATCCATGATGAATCAGTAGATTGTTCAATAGCACAATGTTTGCCACAAGACTCACTCCGCATGATCCTCAAAGCAACCTTCAGTAGAGTTGGTGCGTTCTCTGCGGGAGTCAATGAAGAATAATAACCAGTGACGTGCACATGCAAGTCGAATTCAGGTATGCCTAAAGAAATAGTTTAGGCAAGTCTCAGCACTCAGTACAGCTCGGACATCGGTGCGTGACTCACCTGATTCGTGCTGGATGACCTGTCCAGCCTTGTTCTTTCTCGGTACACATACAGCCCATTGCGGCAATAGATTCAACTTTTCTTGAGGTTCGGCTAGCTTGCGTGCGAGCCCTCGAGACGCCTTCGAATCGTCATCTGAGTTGCCTCGAGATCGCTCTTCGCCGGTTCTACTTTCATGCAGGTAGTCCGAGGCGGCTTCGACGTAGTTTGAGGCTCCCACGAGCGCGGCCTTGGCCATCGGCTTCGCATAATTGTTAAGTCCCGATTTGGCTTTGGAGGCCCATGAGCTTGCTGAAGCGCTGAAGGAGAAGGAAGACGAGGTTGATGATCCTAGCGTCGGTCTTCGAGGACTGGCCATAGAATTATTCACACCTTCAGGCTGTGTACGGCTACCGGTATTCAAGTTGTTTGTGGCTGCGGTATTGATGCGGGAGACCGAGCCGGGTTTAGGTGGTAGTGGCGGAGGCACTCTTCGGCCTGACATGGTAGGTGATGAAGCTCTAGCTGGTGAGAAGGCTCGAGGTAGGGAGCTTGTCATTCCACGCGTTCGCACTAGGTCCAGATTATAGTCTGGTAGCTTGCTGCAGTACGTGGATGAAAGCGATCTGCTACACCGTTGGTGGCTAGAATGATGACCTTGCGCAAGATATTAAACCTATGCCGGCGGTTGAAGGAGGGGATATCGAGCTGGATATTGACGGGTTGCTATTGCAGTAGAGGGGACGGCGGTGTATATTCGAATCGTGGTGACCGCGGATAGACGGCGAACCGGAGGAGTTATTATTCATAAATCGACGGGATAGTGGATATGACGAATTAGGATCCTGGCTTGATTTAGCGGAAACACGTGACAGCGCCTGGATTCAAAACAGTTCCATCATACCTATGTACTGTATCCCTATGTCGCCTCTCACTGGGCTCTCTCTGGTTCTCGGTTTTAAACATATGTAATAGACAGCCATGATTTGTTTCCACGTGTCGTGGCGGGACAATGTGTTCTTTCCTTGCAATAATAATACAGTTGATGTTATGAGATCTTTGCTCCACTGCTCGATCGATGACCAAGGAGAAGACGATCAAGAAGGGGTGGCAAGCCACAGATAATGCCCGTATTATCGGCATGTAGCAGAATATTTTGCATACCACTTGAAAGCCAAGGGATCATGGAAGCGAAACGCAATCCCGCCAGGCAGTGCGGGTTGCTGAACATGCCTCACGTTCCGCCCTCGGCTTTCCGGCTTGTATGGTCGCAATGTTGATTAAGTGTCCCGCTGGAATGGGGTGGATTGATAACCAGCCTATGCATACTGACAATGCAGTGCGAGTCCACGTCTCGTGAGGTGAATCCGTTCGAGGATATCATCCTCTTTGAGGGGGCGCAGGGGAAGGAGCTCGTCGACCCAATACGCTGAGATCCAAGCCAGCTTTCCTTCTCATTCTGCAAGGTCAAGGTCGATATCAGCCTCTGCATTTGTGCTGGGAAAGTGGTCTGCAGGGCTTACCTGCTGGCAAAATTCTTGTCGCCTAGCTCATCTGCAGAACCCGGAGGACCTAGCGGCTGTCTAAGCACGACAGCGACTGGCGCAGCGTTGCTGTTTTGGCCGATAACGCCAGCATCATGGTGGCGAATGCCAAATGTGGATCGGAGTACGACTTCGTCGACCGAAGACGAGCCAGTGGACGGTGACCGACGAGACGGAACTTGCGTAGCCGATGCAACCGATGTTGGGGAATCCGACCTAGATGACTTGTTGGATGCATCGAGTTGAGATGAATTCGTGAAACCGGGCCGTTGTGAGGTGGCCGGACCGGATGTGTTGGGAGGGGACACCGAGTTGCCGAACACCGAGTTGAATGCGTTGTAGGCGGGCTTCAGATCATCGTCTGCAGCTCGGCCGACATGACCCCTTCTAGCAGGGTTCTGCGGTGTCGTTTCGTTATCGCTTGGGTCTCGCAGCGGCGGAGTGAGAAGTTGAGGCGGAGGTGGCGAGATGGACAACTCTCGCTGCGGACCTCGACCTCTCTCGTTGATGCTTCCGTACGAGGACGAGGATGGCGGTGGGCTGATGATGCTGTTCCGATGAGCAGCCGAAAACGGAGCGGGATCGGCCGGATTGTTTCTTTTGCTCATACTTTGTCCTCGGGAGTGGCTTTGTCGATTGTGCCCAAACGCTTGGGCTATTTCACTGCGCGCTCGCAGGTTGGCCTCGATTTGCTGTTTAGCTGCAAGACGCTGCTCCATGGCCGAGCCTAGATTGTTTTCGGCTGTCGGAAGGGGCAGCGAAGGATCAATAGTATTGCGTGCTTGTCGACCGACGTTCAAGTAGCTTTCCTCATCCTGTGGCAGACCAGCTGCAAACGAAGCACTGCCGAATCCGAGAGGGGCGTTCTGCGCCAGAAACTGCATTTGCTGTTGTCTAGCCTGGATCTGTGAACAGCCAAGCATGTAAGCACACGTCCGATCCGCAGCAAGAAATGAAATAAGGCTTACCTGCGCCTGTAGCAACTGCAAACTAGCGAGTTCCTTGGCCTGCTGTTCCCTGACAGCGGCCAATTTCAACAGATCCAACTCGTTCTGCGTGAATCCTCCCATATGATGAACAGCGTCATCCAAGCTCCAACCGTTGATTCTCGCCATATTCTGCGCTTGAACGACCTTTTGATTCAAGGCTTGCATAGCGATCTGAATGGCCAACGTCTGTTGTTGTGCCTGAACTTGCTGTCCTACCTGTTGTGCACGTTGATATTCCAATTGCTGTTGTTGTTGTTGAATCAGAGCAGCTTGCTGAACCTGCAGTTGTCGCAAGTAGGCCGAATCGACGGTAAAGCCCTGCGATCCAGATTGCGCGCCGCGCGGTCGACTTGGATCGCTATGTTGTCCGGATGAGGCTCCCCTTTCGCCGAGAGATGCTTGCGGGGAGGTGACCGTATCCTGGTAGGTGGCGTGATATCCTTCAAGTGTCCTTCCTCCTCGCAGTGCATCTGCGGCAGACGTGCCGTGGAAACGCCTCGAAGCGTTTTGTTGGTTGTCCATACCTAATCCCATTTGCGACATTTGGCTGGTCAAAGCCGCGTCGACATCCTGTTGATTTCCTCGTTGAGATAGATTTGGGCCGCCTGCATAGTTCCGAGTACCAGACATGGGCCGAGATGTGCTACTTTGCTGTCGTGCGTGCATTGTGCCGTGATTTTCGTTCTGCGTGTTGAGCTGAAGGGCGTAGAGTGGATAGGAACCGAGGCTGTGCGCAAGAGAAGCAGGGTGTTTTGGAGGTGCAGTATGATCGGCTAACTCGAACCACGGTTTATTCGTCGACAAAGGGTTTCAAGGGGTTGGAAGACACGAGAGTGACAGGTGAGCGAGTTTTCCGGGTAATCGCTACGAAGAAGGCAATGACGGATGAAGTATAGAGACGTAAAAGATTATGTTGTAATGAACGTGGATTATGCGGACAAGTGGCAGACGTTTCCAAGCGTTCTTGTCGATTGAGCGAGGCTGGAATAAGCGGAGCGAATCAAGGCGTCAAAGGCGAGATCCGGAACAACGTTGAATTGAGGGGAAGGCAAGGAAGCGAGTAGCTCCTTGGAGGGGATGAGTACACCCTGGGGCAGTCGTTTTTGCAGAGCGGGACGTTGAGAGGGTGTCGTGCAGTTGAGGAAGCCGCACAGCCTATAAGGTAGGCGTTGAGGAGCGCGAAAAAGGCGTAGAGAACGAGATAGTCGTCAGATCCAGCGTCATAAGCGAAAATATTGCAGTCCCGGATCAAGTTCCGCCACTTACAGTACCGCGTCTCTGAAGGGTGAAGAAAGTCGTTGATTAAGGAGAATGCTACCAGGTGTGTTGGTGGCAGTATTTCCAGTGCCGGTATTTATAGAATGTGGTGATTCCGAGGAATGAAATTATAGGAATCTCGTAAAAGGCGTGCAATGTCGTCCAGTTACTGCAAGAGGCGTCACAATCACGTGTCCACCGCAGCGCGAGTCCAGTCTATAAAAGATTCAAGAGGGAAGAAACGACGCCGACCGGAGAAGGTTGTTGGCGGTAGGAAAAAACTAGACTTTGCAACGATATGGGTAGAATGCAATGACTTTTAATGTGACTGGCTCACTCCTCTCGCGATATTGAAAGATGAGAGATTCACGAGATGGTTCCTCGTCGCGTGTCAAGCGCGTGGCTGCGCCAGAATCTATAATCTAGGCCAGAGCTGGCAGCTGAGCTGGCTTTGCCTGCTCGATCGCGGTGTCTCACTTGTGCACTAGCGTTTTTCTCAGTTGTTTCTTCGCCACTCCGCCACTCTGCCGGGTTTTCGACCTGTAGCTTGTAGACCATTCATCTATCGTTGGTTATGTAGCAGATGAGCGGGTGTTGGATGTTTCTGTTACGTGTATCGCCTCAGACGACTGGAACACCCGATTTGAGCGTTTCACGGTCGCGACAGTCTAAGAACTCACGGAAAACGCGTTCTTTCGATCAATACTTGACTTATAAACGTTCTGACAGTTGCTAACCAATCAACTCCTCTTTGGCCAAGTGGTAAGGCGTTCCACTCGTACGTATTTAGACGTATTTCGACATGGAAAGATCACTCGTTCGATTCGGGTAAGAGGAGGAATTCATTTTTGCTAATTTGCGAGGTTGGGGGCTCTGGGAGCTGAGGAATGCGCCTAAAGGATCCAAACGATGTTTGTTGGTTTCAAAGGATGTTTCAAGGCCTCAAAGGACGTTTCAAGGCGGTTATGCATTCGCTCGCCCCCCTAAACCGTACGCTCGCCCCCTTCCGCCCCCTTCTTCAACCGCACGCCCCCTTCTGAGTGATTACCTTGACACGTCACGTTTTAGTCGCTTCCACTTGGAGCAATCGACTGCTGGAGGATGATATTCCGCGCTTGAGACCTGCCGGCAATACGAGTCGTGATTGTGAACGCATTGCGTTTGAGTCGTCACCGATATCAGAGACTGCCCAATTGCGAAATGAAAGCAAGATGATGTATGCACTCATACTCATACAGCACGATATACAACGGGGTAGTATCGAAACAACGGCCTCTCTATAATCGATACATGATGACTTTCTGCCGAACCCGACAGCTCTTGTCGGACGGATCAAAGCGTCTAATCTATTTCCGCTTTGAACCCTTCTCTGCACCACCCCGACGGTCAACTTTGACCTTTGGGGTTTTACGTTCACGATTACGGTTCTTGACGTTCTGGAAGAGGGGCAACAGCAAGATCAGTTGAAAGGACAGAATGGGAATGGCCCAATCCCAACTTACCGCTGTTGTGTAGTAGTTTTCCGCCTTTTTCTTATTCGTAGTCATACGACGCTCCTTTGCAGGTCGTTCTTCTTCCAATTCACCCTCGGCAGCTGAAAAAACGAACAGAAGGACAATCAGCAGCTGGACAACGTCAAAGTAAACAGGAACTTTCTGCTTACCTCGCTTTCCTTTATTCACGGGCTCTTCCGTTGCTGGCTGCTTGCCAAGGCTCTTGGCCGATCGAGTTGACATCTTGTCGCCTTCCTCGAACACTTCATCCCAAGCCATAGGTGCTTCCTCCTCTTCCTCCTCCTCATCCTCGTCCTCACCATCCTCGTCCTCTTCCTCTTCCCCTTCCTCTTCCTCTGCGTCAGACTTGTCATACCCATCACCCTCGACCACAGGTTCATCATCCTGGATCATATCAGAGTACCGCCTCGCATCTTCACCCATAAACTTGCCAGCGGTAACAATCTTGCTGATGGGCTGATCGACACCCTTGACGCGACGGCCATTAAGACTGGCACCAAGCGCTCGTTCCTTTTCGTCAATCGTCGTGGCAGTCTGTGTCGTCTCGGCATTGGCATTGGCATCCACGGCCTGCGGTGCCTTTTCAGGCGGTGTCGCAAAGTACGGAATCTTGCCTCTGATCCAATCGTTCAAAATCATCTTGGCCACCGATTCTTGATCCGCCTCACCGCCCTTGAGCAGCTTGCCATACTTTTTCGCAATCGCGGTCAACATGACGCTCGCGCCTTCCTCTCCATGCCACCCGCCTTCACGATGTTCGAGCCCATACGTACGTTCGAGGTACTCTGGTCGTACACGGGCGAGCAAGCCGGGGATATGTTCGGCCGGTGTGGCCAAATTTTCCACACGGACGACACCCTTGAGGACAGTGTCTGTTTCCGTGTCCTTGGCGGAGAGCGGGACGATACCGGGGCAATCGATCAAGTAGATTCGCTTCATGAGGGTAATGTATTGCCAGACCTTTGTCTCTCCCGGGATGGGCGCGACGGTACAGACCTTTTTCTTCTTGAGCGTGTTGATGATACTACTTTTGCCGACGTTGGGGTACCCGATCAAGCCGACCGAGATTTGTTTCTTGTCCGAGTGGAGGACGGAGAATTGTCGAAGAAGTTGGATGAGGGATCCTTTACCAAACGAATTGTTGATCGATGCGTGGAAGGCGATCGTGGGTGCAGAGAGCGAAAGATGCTTGACCCATCGTGCCTATTTGTCGGGGGAGGTGGAAAGTCAGTACCCATGCTTTCCCGACAGTTTCCACGATGACACGACTAGAAAGAAGGAAATGTTTGATTCCAAACTACGATCCTGGGCACGAAAAGGCAGACCTCGCCAGCTTCCACGATGAAAGCCAACTCAAACGATCCCGCCTGACCCAACATCAACTCTTGCGGAATCCAAACCACCCTTAAACTCCTAAGAATTCGTCCCTCACCCAGACGCTCCATAACGGAGAATCCAGGCTTGTCAGCCTCGATACAAGAGACAAGACGTCTCCCGTACTCCCTCGAGGGACCACTTCACTGGCAAGAAGCCAACAAAGCGACAAGGTAGGACACGACATGGGTTGGGCGGAGCAAAGGTTTGTTCTTCCACTCTCGTAACAGACCCGAATACACGTAAGTTGTGTCCAGAGGTGGACTTGTGTGGGCCTTGACTGGAGTGTGGAGCGTACGAATACGACTGAACGGAGGGGGGGGAGAAGAAGAGAGAATACAGCGAGTGTGGAAAGGCATGACTCACTGTCACCCACGTCGGCACAAGATCAACCTTGTTCAACACGTAAATCAACTGCTTGTGCGCCTTTTCCTTTCTCAGATAATCAACAACGGGTTTACACCTCGTCCCCAACGGATCACGCGCATCAAGCACGTGAATGACGACATCGGATGAATCGAGGACTTTGTACAGTTCGCCCCAGATACGTCGGGATGTGCCTTTTGCGTAGATTGGTTCAGAGGCGAGGGAGCGGACGATGTGGTTTAGGTCGATTTCCGGGGCGTTGCTGTCGGCCGTGTCTGGGGAAGGCAGTGAGGAAAACGAATGGGTAAGCGTCTTTGCGGAAAAAGCGAAACATGATGTCGGAGCGTTGTTGCGTACCTTTTGCTTCCTGCGCATCCGTCGCGGCCTGACTCAACTCCTCCATGCTCCCGATATCAAGCCTCGGCCTCTTGCGCTGCGCCTTGGGCCCAAAGGTATCATTAAACGGCTCCACCTCGGTAATATGCGCACGCTTTCCGCTCGCGTTTTTACTCTCGTCCTCGAGTAGGCCCATGGGGAGTTTGTTTCGGCGCAAGAGGACCGAGTAAGGGTTTGCGCGTTGTTCTGCGAGAGAGGTACGGAAGTGGTCGAGTGCTGTTTGGGAGATTACTCGTGTGTTGCCTATCGTCCGAGATGTGGTTAGTATACCGGGAGGGTGGAATGAAATGCAAAGCCGACTTACCAAACCATCGACGATCAGCCTGGATCCTGCCCATCTCGGTATCCTTCTCCGTCGTCTGGAACGCGGCAGCCTGGATGACTTTGCCATCTTTATCACGCACGGCCTTGCCGCCATTCAACATCTTTACACGGGACGCGGATTTCGCATCCCGGTAAAAGTTTTCACCCTTTACTTTTTTGATACCATTGCTGCCGCCGACCTTGGAGGCGGTGGGGGGTTTGACGTGGTTCTTTCCTTTACCCATCTTGTAAGTGCAAGGGTTGATTGGAGAGGAAGAGGTGGATGCGGATCTGGGATACCGCTCGATATCAAATTCTACACACTGGGTAGACAAGAGTTGTATGCAGGCCCGTCCAGCTTTTTGTGTGCGCCCGAGCCCGCGATCGTTCTTCACCCAAAACTTTTTTTGCCTCCTCGCTTGTGGATTGAATTACTAGGTGGTCACGTGATATTCCCCGGAGTTTAGAGGTGGTTGTCCGTGGCATGTCTCAGCTCGCGTGGCAGATCGTTACGAGGTTACGGCATGGTAAGAGGTGGCTTCTAGACATTTCACGACTACAATCACCTGGTCATCTCGTCTTTCCTGTATACAATCAAGTACAACATTCGCTGCTCAGTGTTGGTGCAGGAGAACCCTTGCATCATCATGGCTTCCAGCGATACAGAAGCTATGACAGCGGATGTCCTTACATTCGAAAAAGTAAGCACCCATCTGCAAGTCGTATACCCATGTAACGTCAACAACAACTCGTACCCCTCCTCAGACACACTACAAGACTGCGAATGGGGATATCGCATTACTGCAATGGCTGACAAGATGTGAAAAAGCAATCACCACTCTTCCCGCCGTAAGTCACCTGAATTTTACACACGCACGGCACCGCAAACAACCTGACATCACCTCTTCCTCCCTCTGAAGGACCAACTCCAACCCTCCATCGAGCACCTGCACACCGCCTACTCCCAAATCCTCCTCTTCCTCCCTTCCGGCAACTCGAAAGACCTCACCTCGTCCACCGGCCTTCCGAAACCAGGCCGACCGATCCGCGCGCTCATTGCGAGATGCCTCGTGGCGGTACATGCAAAAGTGGAGAATAGGTCCTTGTTTGATTTCGTGCAATCGTTGCTCAGGGCCGTGATGGAGAATAATGGGCATGCGTTGAAGCATGGGCAGGATGTGGTGCATCGTGTGTGAGTGAACTTGAAGTGTAATGGGGAAACGCTGGATGGGTCTGATTTCCCGTGGGTTTTTTGGTAGGGCGTCTTGGTATGTGATTGGGGAGTTGATGAAGGCGTTCGGAGCGAATGTGAGTAGGGTTACGAGGCCATTGTTTCCTTGACGCTTTAGCTCATCCCTCTTATTCCAGATGATGTCCTTTATGGCCGATATCTGCGTCAGCGTCGTAAAAATGATCAGGGCCACTTCCCAGGTAAGCCACCCGTTGTACCTCGTTCAAGCCGCGTCACTCACCCGTTCACACACTCACGCTCTTCTCCACCAGTCCGTGCTGCTCCGTTCGCATGTCCTGATGGCATTCATCAAATCCCTCCATTCGGCGGGTAAAGCCGTCCCAGACCAAATGCTCAAGGATCTCATCAAGAACCTCAAAAACGGGTTAATCGACCAGGCGTTACCCGTCCAACGTCATTCCGCGGAAGCACTCCTCGCGCTTGAAACCTGCGCACCGACGATCGTGATGTCCGTTTCCGACGTCGAGGCGATAAACAGCGTCGCGTTGCGTTCGTTGGACAAGGCGGATCATGCGACGCGGAGGCCGTTGAGTAGGCTTGTTGCGCATTTGTTGGCGTTGACGCAGCAGGAGCGCACGGTTGCAGCGGGGGAACACAGTAGGGGCAAAAAGGCGGCCGCGGTGGCTGGTGGGG